CATGAACCACGTCAGGAACACCTGGCCCAAAGTTCTCCATGCTGAGGACAGAGGCAGGCATGTCACAGCCCGAATCCGGCCAATACCTGCTGGCAGGTGGGCTGCAGGGGGGCGGGGGGGGCGGGGGGCGGGGGGCAACAGCCACGCCCACCCAGCAGCCCAGAGCCGGGTTCCTGGGCACCCCGGCTGCTGCTCTTTCCTACGTGTTTTCCTAGAGGAGGTTCCTCCACCCCCCAGCCCCCCGGGATGCTGCAGGGTTATCGCTGCCCCCTGGGGCTTGGAGCCTAGGGAGGAGTTCCGGGGGAAGATGGCAACCGAGCTGACAGGTGGACCGGGACATGCTGCCCCAGAGGCCAGGGGCACGTGAAAAGAGCCTGAGTGAGGGGTCTGCTGCAGACCTTCGCTCCCGTCCAGTACAGGCAGAGAGAGAGAGAGCCAGCATGGGTGTATTGCAGCAAGCGGGACTTAGGTTAGACAGCAGGAGGGACTGTCCGGGTGGTTTAAACTCCAAGGGCAGGCAGGAAGCACCCTTGAGGGCAGTGGAGATGCTCCGGCTGAAGGCAGAGGGGGTGGAGGAGGCATCTGGGTGATACCAGTCTCCTTGAGCCCTCAAGATGGCCTCTCCCGTTGCCATGACAACCAGAGGCTGTTGCTTCTGCGGGGAGGAGGTCTGAGAAGGGTCTCCCCAGACCTTGAGGTCAAGGGAGCAGGCTGTGGACTGGGAAAGGGGGTTCCCCTATGGCTCTCTCTGGGGAGAGGAAGTAACCCCCAGAGACCTGGGGTCCCCCCCACAAGCTGTCCTCCAGTCCCCCACCCCACGTGAGGCGCAGTGTTTTTCCAGTTGCCGAGGGTGACGTGGCCGACGGTCCCAGCTGGGCAAGAGCAGCCTGTGATTTCACCCCGGGCTGCATCATTACCTGACGTCTCCACGGCAACCAGCCTGTGACATCACAGGGCCCAAGTCCTCAGAGGGAGAAGGCAGCGTTGGTGAGGGCGCGCGCACCCAACTGAGGCAGGGAGTTAGGAAGGCTGGGGAGGTGCTGGGAGCCACGGGTCCCCCTTGAACGCACCCCACCTGACTGGACGACCTTGTTCAGCCTCTGCGTCGGCATCCCCTGCCAGCTCCCTGGGTGCAGCTCCCCTCACTGTCCCAGCTGTGGGAAAGCACCCTAAAACAGCTTCAGCCTGTGGCGGGGGCTCATGGAATATTCCAGCACCCCTCAGCATTCCCAAGGGCAGCCTGTGGCTCGGAGCACAGAGTGTGTCTGCACCTTGGCTGGCCCCAGCTCATGCTCCCCGGAAACCTGGCGATGGCTTTCTGGGCTGGGGCAACGTAACAGCAGGTCAGGCATTTGCCTTGTATGTGGCTGATCTGGGTTCGATCCCCTGTAACCGCATATGGTCCCTTGAGCCCCACCAGGAGTGGTCGTTGTACACGGAGCCAGGAGTAAGCCTGAGCACCACCAGGTGGATACCCCACCACCACAAAGAAAAGAGAGACAAACATCAAATTTAATTGACCAGAACCACCGATAGCAGTGAATGCATTTTTGTGTCTTGACTCAGTTTTCACATGGAAAAAGTGACCCCCTCTGTGCACGGTGTGTGTGTGTGTGTGTGTGTGTGTGTGTGTGTGTGTGTGTGTGTGTGTGCGCGCGCGCGCACATAGAGACATAGAGATAGAGCTCAATCTCCGGGAGGTCGAGGTTAGAGCTGAGCCCAGTGGAGTGAGGGCTGGGTGGGGGGTTAAGGGTGAGGGCTGAGAAGGAAGGGATGATGAAGTGAGGGATGACTTGAGTGAGGGATGGAGGAATGAGGGCCGAGTGAGGGCTGAGGGGTGAGGCTGTGAACCGCAGTGCGGAAGTCTTTTCCCACGGAGGGCCCAGGCAAAGGCCCGAGGCAGCTTGTATTGGCCTGGCTGAGGGGGGGCGTGTCTGAGGAGAGCAGCTGGCAGAGGAGCCGCATGCCTGCTGGAAGCCAGGAGCGGTGGGAACTGAGGTGGGAGGGGCCAGGGCTCTCCGAGGTTTGCTCAGGGCAGTTCTCTGGGTATCATTGGGCGGCTCCCCTGACTAGCAGCCCTGTCAGGACCAGCCATCATAATCCCACCTCAGGGTCCCCTTGACCACCCAGGCTCTGTCACACCCGAGTTGGGAGGACCCTGAACCCCAGCGCGCCCCACGCCCTCTCTGCAGCCATGCAGACCTCCCTGCCGGTAATCCTGGTGTGTCCTTCCAGACTCCACAGCCTGGGCTCCCCACCTTCCAGCACCATCTTGGGGTGACCCTCCCACCAGCCTCTTCCTGCACCCCACCAGGACTCACTGCTGCCTCTTTCAGGCTTTGTTCCTTGGGCCCCACCTGGGTTCCAGTGCTCAGGGGTTCCTCCCTGGCTCTTCACTCAGGAATCACTCCTGCTGGTTCTCGGCGGACCCTGTGGGATGCCAGGGATCAGACTCAGGTCAGCTACTGGCCAAGCAAGTGACCACTCACTGTTCTGTCTCTCCAGCCCCCCTTCATGCTTTGTTTTGTATTTAGTATTTTGAAGGGTGGAGGGGAGTGCTAAGGTTACTTCCAGCAGTGCTTGGGGGACTCTGCAGTGCAGGGTGGGGGGTGGGAGGGTCAGTGTGCTCATACATGTGAGGTAGGAGGGACCGGCCCTTCAGTGAGGAGACCGGAGGGTCCGAGTGCTGCAGAGTTGCTGGCCTGGGCCAGAAGGTGGTCAGAGAGATCTTCCCTGAAGAGGTGACCTGAGCCTCAGCCAACCCGAATCAGGAGGTTCAGGGAAATGCTGGGAACGTGTCCCAGGTGGAGGGGACAGCGAGGACAAAGGACAAGCCTGTCATCTCTGGGGCAGAGAGGATGACAGTGAGAGAGCCCCAGGAGGTGGGAGAGGGCCCTGGAGGCTATGCCCAGTGCTGGGTCTTCTGAAGAGAGCTAGTGGAGGGTCCTTGGGGTGGAGGGGCCCCTAGCAGTTCTCAGGGAGCCCCGAGAATACTTAGAGCTGTACTCAACCAACCAGACCGGAAGTCCATGGACCTGGCAATGTGGTAGTCCAGCAGTGTTGGGGACCAGCAGTCCTGGGGGGTTGAGGGGGGCACATGAGATGCCAGGGATTAAACTGGGGCCTCTCCTGCGAGGCCTGTGCTGGCCCTTTGAGTTCTCTCTCCCTCCAGCAGAGGGGTGCCACATCTCGAGGTGCTCGGGCTTGCTCCTGGCTCGATGCTCAGGGGTCATACGGATGGTACTTGGGGGAACCATATGTTCGGTGGGTTTGTTTGGGGGGCCGCACCCTGCTGTGATCAGGGCTTGCTTCTGGCTCTGTGCTCAGGCGTCACTCCTGGCGGTGTTCGGGGGGCCCTCTGGGGTGACAGGGATCGAAACCAGATTGGCCAGGTGCAAGACAAATGCCCTACCTGCTGCACTGTCGCTCCAGTCCCTCAGGGACGGGACCATAGGCAGGGCTGGAGATCTAACTGGGTTCCCTCGTCCTCTCCCTCCAGACCCAGCTCACGAAAATTTGAAGCAGATGCAGTTTGTGGATGCAGATGCAGTGATGAGGATGAGGCTCGAACAGTCTCTCGGGACAGGGGGCTTCTGACGGTGGTGGCTGGGTGGGAAGGGAAAGGGGTAGAGTAGGCTGAACCTGGTCTCCCCAGGAATGGACAAAGACAAGGGGCATAGTGGCAGGAGTGGGTCGTTTGTTTGGGGGGTCGCACCTCACAGTATTTAAGGGTTACATCGCACTGGGGACTCTTCCCAGGATGCTGGGGGTGGAACCCGTGTCTTCCACTCATGCCCGAGCCCCTTGGCCCTGGAGCAGGTATCTGAAGCCTGCGAGAAGAGCTGAGTGTGTGGTTTAGCACTAGCACACCGGCCTTACACACATGAGGTCCTGTTTTTTTTTTTTCTTTTTGGGTCACACCCAGCAATGCACAGGGCTTACTCCTGGCTCATGCACTCAGGAATTACTCCTGGCAGTGCTTGGGGGACCATATGGGATGCTGGGAATTGAACCTGGGTTCGCCATGTGCAAGGCTCCAGCCCCTGTCCTGGGTGTTTGGCTCCTGACACCCTAAAGTGGGGCTGGGGGCTGGGAAATAGCGCTACTGGGGAGCTGGAGGAAGGGGCTGTCGGAGGGATGCTGGAGCGGAGGGACTGAAGGTGCTGGGGTCCCTGAGAGAAGAGGGGGCAGTAGCCACATTGATGCTGTGTGCCCTGGCGAAGTGGGAAGCCCCCCGGGGTAAGTGCGGAGCCCCCTGCTCAGAGGGGCTGGTCTTAGATGGGGTGGGGAGACTCTCTCTTCACACAAAGGAAAATAGCTGCTGCGGACAGCCAGGCTGGGGGGCTGGGCGGGGGTAAGCAGGGTGCCAGGGCTGCTTTGGGAAGGAGACACAAGACTCCCCGCTGGCAGAGGCGAAGGCGGTGGGTCTGCCAAAACCAAGGTCGCAGGACAGAGTCGGGAGGAGCCGGCCAGTGTCCCGTGTGTGGCCGTGGCCGGCTGCGGGGCCTGGCAGCCAGGGCAGGTGCAAAGGTGAGCAGAAGGTTAGCCGCGGAGGGAAGTGACCCACCTGGAAAGGACACTGGGCGGGAGGGAAGGTGGACTGAGCAGAAACAGAGACACAGCAATGGCGGCTAACGCCCGCTCCTGCCCCCCAGCCAGCATGCAGTGAGCTGGCAGGCTCCCCCCTGCTGTGGGCCTGGGTCTCTGCTTTTCATACAGTGACCATGAGTGTCAGAAACACCCAGCACTCAGGGCTGGCTTGACCAAACAGGAAGGCAGCAAACTCTTTTTTTTTTTTCTTTTTTTAAAAATTTTTATTAGTGAAACACCTTGAGGTACACTCAGGAATCACTCCTGGCGGTGCTCAGGAATTACTCCCGGCAGTGCTCAGGGAACCATATGGGATGCTGGGAATCAAACCCGGGTCAGCCGTGTGCAAGGCAAATGCCCTTCCCGCTGTGCTATCACTCCAGCCCGGCTTCTGTCATTCTTATCTTCAGACCTGTTCACAAGTGCCCACAAGGACTGCCCCCTGCCTCACAGCATGGACACCCTGAACCCAGACTTGCCCACTATTGCTCCAGACCATGTCATTGGCAAGGTAAGTGACCCCACTGTCCCCCACTGCCCATGCCCTGGTGCCTGGGGCATGGGGGTGGCCAAAACACACCCCTTTCTCCTTCCCTCCCTGTCACCTTCCTGTGGGGTCAGCACCCCTCAGCTTTGGTTTCCCGCAGGACCAAGTTCTGAGTGGGCTGGGCCTCCAGGGTCTGGACCAACTTGTTTGGAAAGAGGGTCCCCCTACACCTCAATGGGTTCCTGCCCAAATAAACTCAGCCTTTGCGGGTCAGAAGTTCATGACCAGTCCCCCCTCCTCGGCAGCCTCCTGGAGAATGGAAGGAGTAGAATTCTCCTCCACATTGGTCAGGAAAATCTTTTAGGAGCCTCAGAATCTGGTGTATCATTTCCACCCTCACCTCAGAGCTTGGGGCTTGGACCAATAGGTTGATACGATAACCAAAACACACTCATGCATACAGAAAGCTGGGACATGTTTAGCATGCACACATGCACACCTAGCCTCACATTTGCACACATAAGAACATCACACATAGGCATGCACACATAGACACACATGCACTCGTGCACACTCAAACAGACACACATGCACACAGGCATTCATACACATGTAACACATACCAGGCACACACATATACCTCTACACACACCTGCATACGCGTACATGTACACACAAGCACACACATGTACACTCACATGCACACATATACAACACACTGTGCATGTACATATGCCCACGACCTGTACACTCACATGCACACACACACGATCCACATGTGCTCACCAGGCACACACATACACCTGGCACCAGCACACATATGGAAGTGCACTTAAGGCATGCACACATGTGCACATGTGTACTCATGCACATACACTCACACACACCCATGGCATGTATGCACACACATAGAATGTACATCATGGACTCACCCATGATGCACTCACACACACCCATGGACCTAGGACCTGCGCACATGCCACATGGCAAGTGTTGTCTGACACTTTGCCTATGTGCTGTGGTGGCCGCTTCTCCACAGCCTGGGAGTTAGCCGGATGCCCTCAGGGCCTCTGAGCCACCCCACAGGACCTCAGGCATAAACAGCACTTACCCCTGAACCCACGCCCCCCTGCTCCGCACTCTCCTGGCAGGCCTCTGTGTGTGAGTGGCCAGCTCTGACCTGCAGAACCCCCTGGGGCTGAGCACAGCCCTGGTGCCCAGGGCTCAAGGCATGGCTGTGGGCGGAGCGCGGGCCCTGCTTCACCCTCTCTCTCCTCTTGTTGCAGGACAAACAGATGGATTTCTGTTGGGATCCTTGGCAGGTCCGTGCCCGGCCTCAGTGTCCCCCAAGACAGCCAGCCCCAGCTGTGCCACTGCCCTCCCTGCCCGGTCCAGCAGGACTCAGCCCACCTATCCCGGCGGAGGGTGGGGGTGGGCCCTGTGGCAGTTGCTGGGGGCCCCTGACTGCCCACTGGCCAGAGGGCTGGGGAGGGTGGGCAGAGGGGTGGGGGTCATTGCCTGACAGTGCTGCGCCCCCACGCCCCTTCTCTCCTGACAGAGGTGCTTCCAGACCACCAGCGGCTACCTGTCCGACTCCAGGGCCTGCTCCAGCAGCTACAATGTGGCTGCCCTGGCCACCTCGTCCCTTGTGGGTAGGCACCTGCTGCCCTCTGCTGTCCCTGGGGCCACAGGAGGGGGCCGAGTGGAACTGCAGCCGGAAGCGTTAGTGGTTTCCGTGATGGCTAAGCGCAAGGTGTCCTGACCCCCCTGCTGAAGCGACCCGACTTCTCAGCTGCCCCCCGAGGGTCTCCTCAGCTCTCTGCGGCAGCTGAGATCCCGGACGGGGTCCGAGAAGCAACGCCTGGGGTGGGACTTGAGCACTTTGCTGGGCTACTTTCTGGGACAGCTGATCCGTAACAGCGGGGACCCCAGGGCGGGGGCAGAGGAAGGCGCTCTGTGAAGACGGGGGTTTGGACGAAGATCCACCTGTTCTGGGGGAGCTGTGGCCGACTGCCCTTCCCTGCTCAGTCACTGGCCGTCTGGAGAGCACTGTCCATCTCTCCCCACCCCCCAATTGCACCCATCCTTCTGGGGGATGCGGCTCCCAGGGGCTAAAGAAAAGTCTCGAGTGGGGGTGGGGCAGGGTGCAGGTGTGGGCACCGGGCAGGGGGTGCCAGGCCTGGGGTTTCTGCTCCCAGTCATCCCGGCACAGCCGTCTGGGCCCATCTCAGCCAGCGTCGCTGCCCCAGCCTTACCCACGTGCCTCTGGCCCCCACCACGCCAGATTCACATTTGACTCTGCTGTTTCTTTTGTTTGTCTGTTTTTGTTTTTGTTTGGGTCACACCCAGCGATGCTCAGGGGTTGCTTCTGGCTCTGCACTCAGGGATCACTCCCTGGTGGTGCTCAGGGGACCATATGGGATGCCAGGGATCAAACTGGGGATTGAACTGGGGAGGAGCACTTCCAAGGCAAAGTGCTCCCCCCCCATATACACACACGCACATACTATGTACTATCTGGCCCCTACTCTCTTATTTCTTTTCTCCTCTCTACCTCATCTGCCCTTTGAGACACCTCCTCCCAGCCCTGCCTGAGAGTGGACACTCCCGCGTGGGGACTGTCCCTGCTTCCATCTCCCCAGCGTCCCGGGTACGAATCTGTCCTGTGGCATTGCCCTGCCTTAGCGGGGTGTCCCCAGCTCTGTGAGGGAGATACTGGGGCCTCCTTAACCCTTCGCCAAACTCCATTTGCAGCTCTCCTACTTCTTCCGGGGCTTTCGTCCACCTCTGCCCAGCGTTGGTCCTCCTGTTGGACCCCTTCAAGGTCCCTGATGAACCCTGCACCCCCTTCCTCTCCCCTCACTACCACCCCAGGGGTCCCCCCTCTGATCTGCCCCCTGCCCCCCGATCTGCCCCCTGCAGGGCTCCCAATCTCACCCCTAATTAATCACTTCTTCCCTGTCCTCTGAAATAGCCCCCAGTCTCAAATCCATCTGTCCAACCCGACCTGCCTTCAAGGACAATTCCAACTTCCCCGAGACACCTCTTCTAGGAAGCTTTCCCAGGCTGGCACACCATGCAGAGCCCTATTCAGTGGACGGGCTCTGTCCAACTCAGGGGATCTCTCCCAGAGATCATTAGTCCCTCGGTGGGAACAGCAGAGATGGGCAGAACTGAGCTAAAGGTCCTCACTGGGCAACTGGGCCTGAGCTTGACAGGAATGAAGGGGAAGAACCTGGGGCAGGAAGGCAGATAGGGGGAGGACACTGAGGATTGGTGCAGTTAGGGAGCTGGGATTGGAGAAAGCATGGCAGGAAGAGTGTCTGTCTGGCATGCGGCTGACCTGGGTTCAATCCCCGGCACCCCTTATAGTCCCTGAGCCCCACCAGGAGTCAGAGCCAGGAGTCATCCCTGAGCACAGAGCCAGGAGTCATCCCTGAGCACAGAGCCAGGAGTCAGCCCTGAGCACCACCAGGGGTGGCCCCCACAGAAACAAACAAGCAAAACGCAAAACTGAGGAGGGCTTAGCACTCGGGGATGCCAGGCATTGGCTGGGCATGAGGAATTGGAGAAGCACCAGGCATGGTGGGCACCAGGCATGGGACATTGCAGGACTGCAGTTGGGGGCCTGATGCATGGGGCTGGGGGTCTTGGGGAGGGGGGGGTCACTGCCACTGTCCTGCCCCAGGCGTCGTGCAGAGCATCAAGGACCACATCACCAAGCCCACAGCCATGGCGCGCGGCCGCGTGGCCCACCTCATCGAGTGGAAGGGCTGGACGGCGCAGAGGTCAGCCTGGGAGCTGTCCCCGGATGACGACGAGCCCTACTGCTGCCTCTCGGACGAGCTGCGCGAGGCCCGCTTTGCCGCCGGTTAGTGGGGGCCGGAGGAGGGTGGCTGGCCTCAGGGTCCTGGGACCCTTGGGACGGCTCCTGGGCACTGCTGGCCCCCTCGGGCCCCCACTGAGCCACTCTCACTGGGTCCCAGGGGTCGCAGAGCAGTTTGCCATCACGGAGGCTACGCTGAGCGCCTGGTCCTCGTTGGACGATGAGGAGCTGCACCCCACCAACAGCCCCCGGGACATGGTCCAGCTTCAAGGTAGAAGCAGGAAACACAGGGGTGGGGCCACAGGGAGGAGCCTGAGGGTGGCCCGGGGCTGTCTGCCTGCTGGGTGCTGTCTGTCTGCCTGCTGGATGCTGACTGTCTGTGGGGTTCTGGCTATCTACTAGGCATCCTCGGGCACCAAATGCAGCAACCTTGAGCCAGCCCCTCAGTCTTACCCCCTTGGTCTGTGAAATGGGCAGAGGGACAGCCGGCAGAGGAGATAATGGCCGTCGCCGTGCTGAGTGACGGGAGCGCAGGGTTCCCAGGTGCTGCTGCTTGTCACCCTCTGAGCTCTAGGAAGTAGATCCTTCCTGGCTCCCCTTTACAAATAAGGGAAATTGAGGCACCAAGAGGCACCAGAGCCAGGTTCTGAGCCCAACAAGCTGCTTCGGGTCACCATAAAGAACTCAGGGAGCCTGAATCACGGAGGTGACACCTTCAGAGGTCAGGATGACACCCCATCCTCACATTAGGGGCAGGAAGGGAAGGAGACCCTGTCTCAGAGAAGCCCAGAAGATCCAAGCTGACCCTGATCTCTCCCCTTCAGTCACAGAGGCAGCCCTCAGGGCCCCCAGGGCTCAGAGAGGGTCAGTGACTTGTCCAGGGCTACACAGCACTAGGGGCTGAGGAGCAGGGAACGCTCCCCAGCTCCCCTCCCTCCTGTTGCTTTTCCAGACCTGGAGAGCGTCTACCTTCAGGACAGCCTGCGAAGTGGCCTCTCGCTGGACGACAGTCTCCTGGCCTTCTCCTCCCCTGGGCTCTCCCCGGATGGCTGGCCCTCCCCCGAGGAGCCCCCACTCTCAGTGGCTGGCCCCCACCCCCCCAGCCCTGGACAGCAGCGGCAGCCGGAGCCAGGGGGCCCAGACCCCGCCCGAGCTGCCCGCCTGCAGGGCTCTCTGCCCTCGGTGGACTGCGGCGTCCCCTCCGAGGAGGAGGATGAGGTGTTCTATAACTGAGGCCCGCCCCGACAGCGCCTGGCCGTGAGGCTCCTGACCCCTCTGGCCAGCAGGGACGGGGCCAGTGCTCCTGGGGGGGCCACTCTGTGCATCCCCCTTTTCTTGGCTCAGGTGGGCACCTTCCTCTGCAGAATTCCCTCCAGGGGACGGCTCAAGTCTGCTCAGGTGCCGCCCAGAGGAACCAGCAGCTGGGAAGGGGCCTGGGACACCCAGGGGAGGGGTCTTCTGGGACACACCCTGGAGGCGGGGCCTGGGCATCCTGGGGGCGTGGTCTGGGATAACCTGGGGGCGGGACGGGGATGTCCCTGGGGGCGTGGCCTGGGACTGGCCCCTCCCCTCCCCTCTGCGCTCCCGCGCCTCAGCGGAGGCGGGAAGCCGAGCATCCGCTCCTCACTGTCAGCCCTGGAGACTGTCTCCTCCTCGGAGTGTCTGTCTGTCTGTCCGTCCCTCTCCCAATCCCTGCTCCCCCTCTCTGTGCACCTCCTGTCCCTCCCTGAAGGGTCTCTGAAGACATTATTAAAGTGGTGGGTGTGCCCTGAGTGACCTCTCCCTGGTCTCTTCTGGGGAAGGCGTGGCCTCGGGCCCCAGGAGCTGAGGTTAGAAGATTTAAGGTCCCCAAGACCCCCGATACGTGGACTGCTGCCCAGCCAGGAGAATTCTTACAGAACATTCCTCAGCTCTGTGGAACCCCACGGAAGCACATGCCAGGGCCCAGCTGGAAGCCAGCCTGATTCAGACCTAGACTAAGCTGGCACTGGGATAAGGGGGTGAGGGTGATGGGGTCCTGATGGCCTCAGCAGGAGACTCGTGGGCCCCCCTCCCCCCCACCCCGCCCTGCCCCACTTCTCCCAGCAAGAAACCACCTGGAGACAGGGACCCACCTGCAATGCCCCTGTGGCCAGCAGGGGGACGCCTCCCCTGGAGTCAGCGCAGGTTGCTACCTAGTGTGCTAGGTGGCTGCGGGGGCGGCACAGACAGGACAGAGGGAGAATCAGGAGCAGGCTTTATGGTTTGTTGGTTTGTTGGTTTGTTTAGGAGTCCCTGGGGGAATGAGATAACCTCAGAGGACATCCATGCCTGTGTTGGGAGAGGCCAATCTCTTCATACACAAATGGCATCCAGCACCCAGCACCCAGCATGCAGCACCTGGTGCAGATCTGCTTCCTGCATTCTGAGTGCCCTTCAGGGTGGGGGCTGCCCTGCAGCCCAGGATAGGGCACAGCGGAGACAGTTAAGGCACTGGCCGGGCTAGAGAGGAGGCTGTGACAGGCCGGGGCATCCAGCAGGCGACCCTGTTCCATCTTCCCGGGCTCACTTCGGGGCTGGCGGGTTTATCAGGTTGGAAATGGCTTTCCTCAGCTAGAACAGAGAAAGAGGCATTAGAGGGGGTAGGACATAGAAGGGGTTTAGAGTAGAAGCTGCAGGGGTCAGAGCAATAGCACAGCGGGTAGGATGCTTGCCTTGCATGTGGCCAACCCAGTTTCTAGCCCCAGAGTCCCATAATTACTCCTGAGCACTGCCAAGAGTAATTCCTGAGTGCAGAACTGGGAGAAATCCCTAAGCATTGCTGGGTGTAGTCGACCCTATTTTCTTTTTGAGGGGGCACTCCCAGCAGTGCTCACGGGCTATTTCTGGCTCTGTGCTCATGAGTGACCCCTGGCATTGCTTATGAAACCATATGTGATGCTGGGGATTTGAACTAGGGTCACCTTCTTGCAAGGCAAGTGCATTATCCCCTGTACTATGTCTCTAGCTCCTCAGGGATTGCACTGAGAACAGCTTGTTTGTTAGGGGACCATACCCAGTGGTGCTTAGGGGTTACTTCCAGCCCCATACTTGGGACTTTGGGACCATTCCTGCAGTGTTCAGAGGACCAGGAGGTCCTGGGGTGGAAGCTGGGCCTCTAGCATGAAACACACACACACGCTCTTTGAGTTATCCCCCCCCAAGATACTGGGGACCCCCTTTTTTTTGCTTTTTGGGTCACACGCGGCGATGCACAGGGGTTACTCCTGGCTCTGCACTCAGGAATCACCCCTGGCGGTGCTCAGGGGACCATGTGGGATGCTGAGAATCGAACCTGGGTTGGCCGCGTGCAAGGCAAACGCCCTACCCACTGTGCTATTGCTCCAGCCCCCTGGAGACCCTTTTTAGGATCGTTTGATCCCCTCAGCTGATTCTGAGGTAAGTTTTAAAACCAATGCTTCCCCATTGCACAAATGGAATAACTGAAGCAGTCCAAACTTCACTGGGGGCTCTCCACACCTCCCCAGGAAGCTCAAGCAAACTCACATTTTGTTCCGCCCCCGGGGTCCCCTGGTACCTCAACCCAAGACACGAATCCCACAGCTCTGCCCCGAGATGTCACGAAGAGAGACTCAAGTTTCAGCAACAAAAAGAGGCTGTGTGCCTGGGGGATATTGGGAAAAGGTGGGGGACAAGTGGTGATCATCCATCCCTCTGAAGTCATTTTTTCCCCTAGCCTCTGGGTAGAGAGAGAGCAGAGAGGGGCCTGGCCAGGACCCCAGCAGGGCTCACGCCTCAGCATTTCCCAGTAGAGCAGGATCAAGGGTCGCAGTTTCCAAATATGACCAGCAGAGGGCGCCAGAGTCCACGCAAGGTGCCAGTTCCTATTCCCTAGCGTGGCCCACTGCTACAGCGAAGCATTTGCCTGACCCCATATGTCAGGCTCTGTGCTGGTAGGCAGGCGTGAGGGATCAGCAGTGTGATCACCGGGCTCAAAGACACCCAGGGAGAACGTGGCCGACCACTGAAATTGGAACCTATGTGTGTCATGAGGCTTTTATTTCCCAAACTCTCCCACATCCTTAGATTCTGCATCACCCCAGCAAGCCTCGGAGGTCAGTCGAGAGAGAGCATCTGTGCCCATTCTGCAGGGTGCCCAAGTCCCCACAGGCCTCTTCCCTCTGCCCCAGAGCTTTGCCCGTTGCTTACCTGGTGCAGGGAGGTCTCTGGCGTCAGCTGGAGAGTCACTGGCTTTGTGGGGCAGCCCCTAGTCAGGATGTCCTGGAGACACCGCTGACCATAGGAAGAAGGGTTACGGGGGTCCGGGTCCTCCTCCCTCTTCCCCAGGCTGCATCTCTTCCCAGCCAGAGCTCACCCAGCCCCGCCTGCAGCTCCCCAAACCCCTCCTGAAAGCAAGTGCCCACCTGGTGCCCACCTGATACTGATACCCCTCCTGATGCCCTGCAGCAATGCCCACCTGCTGTCCTGGTGCCCATGGAGGGGGCTCCTCCTGGAGGGCCTGCACCAGCTGGGCCCTTCTCACGGTGCCCACCAGGATCTGAGAGTCTGGACAGGCAGAGGGAAAGAAGTGTCCACTCACTGAGACCTGCCAGGGTTGTGTGCCCAGGGTCGTAGCAGGTGCCCTGATGTCTCTCGGGAGACTGCAGAAGCCTCTGGGTCAGGAGCTATGGCCACCTCCTCTTATTTTTTTCTTTTTGGGTCACACCCGGCAATGCACAGGGGTTACTCCTGGCTCATGCACTCAGGAATTACTCCTGGCAGTGCACAGGGGACCATATGGGATGCTGGGAATCGAACCCAGGTCAGCTGCATGCAAGGCAAATGCCCTACCCACTGTGCTATCGCTTCAGCCCTCCAACTCTTTCTTTGTGAAAGGTCTGAGCCCATTCCCGGCAATGCTCTGGGATACTCCTGGCTCAGTGCTCAGGAATCATTCCCGGAGGTGCTCAGGGGATCTATGGGGTTTGGAGATCAAACTAGGCTCAGCTGCGAGCAAGGCAAGTGACTTACCCACCGAGCTATCTCTCTGTCCCCGATTTACCATTTTTATGGAGAAGGAAACAGATTTGGTGGCACAGAGAGATCAACCAAGGTCACTTTGGGTATGGAGAGAGCAGCTGACTGGGGGCTGCCCATAGGACCCCTGAAGCCGGAGCAGGTCTGGAGCTTAGGGGAAAATGGACTTTGATGCCCATTTTATCTTCACTCTAGGACGGGGGGGGGAACCTCACGGAAGGGGTCATCCTTGGGCCAATATTCTCAAATGAGATATTTTTGGCTCATCCTGTGGGGGAAGTTGAAGGTGTCCTGATTTACCCAGGGGAAGGGCCTGGCATTTGGGGTGAGAAATTCTGACAAGTCCATACTGTGATGATCCCTGACTAGCAAAGGAAGAAACTTCCACTCATTCCAAGGACTGCAGAGCAGGACCCCGCCCCCTACCCCCCCGGCACCCCACCTACACCCCGCTGGTGCCCCTCATTCCAGGCTGGAGCCCCCGTGCCCAAGAAGAAGGGGAGCCCCAAGGCCCCTGGCACCTGCGCTCTGCACAAGTGGGTACTCGGCCACGTCTGTGGAGGTCACGACCTTGACCACTTCCTCTAGCGGTGCATCCTTGGCCAGCGTGGTGAGAGAGCTGTTCATGAAATGCTCCACAAGCACACGGTGGGGGCTGAGGGCACAGGGAACCTCTGTCAGGGCCGGGAGTGGGGCTGCCCCACCCCTGGACCAGCGGAGCCCGTGGGGAAAGTGACATGGGTCCTCGAGTGGAGTCAGAAGCCCGGGTTGGGGGCTGGAGAGATAGGACAGCAGGGAGGGCGTTTGCCTTGAACATGACCAACCTGGATTCAATTCCCAGCATCCCATATGGTGCCCTGTGCCCCACCAGGAACAATTCCTGAGTGCAGAGGTAGGAATTTTCCCTGAGCATCATCAGGTGTGCCCCACAAAGAAAAAAAGAAAAAGAAAGAAAGAAAGAAAGAAAGAAAGAAAGAAAGGGGAAAAAAACAGGGATTCCTGAAATGAGCAGTTCTCATGAGATCCGGAGTCAGGAACCAGACCAGCTCCAGACCAACTTCATTTATCAGCTTTGACTCAGAAGCCTTCCCCAAAGAATTTTATCTGAAGAAAAGCTTTACAGGAAAAGAAAAAATATTTTGGTTCTTTTTGGGCCACTCCTGAAACAGTGCACAGGGCTTATGCTTGGCTCCGTGTTTAGGTTCCACTTCTGGTGGGACTCAGGGGACCGTAGAGGGTGCTGGGGATAGAACCTAAGTGAGAAACATGCAAAGAAAGTGCCCTACCCACTGTGCTATCTCTTTTCTTCCTGCCCCCCATTTTTTTTAAAGTTGGAAATCACTAGAACTGTCATTCCCAATGTACAGATAGGAAAACTGAGGTCCAGAGTGGGGCGGCAGCTAGCAAGCGTTGGCTCAGGATTTGAGGCCCAGATGATAGAACCTCAGGCCCACCCCATGGCCTGAGGACCTGGGAACTGTTTCCATTCTCCTCTCCTCACCGCACACCCACTGCCCCCACGTCCAGGCTCACTCCAGGTAAGCTGGGGCCAGAAGGGTACACTGCTGAGCCCGTTTCCAACAAATGAGTGAAACCTGTCTTGTCGTGAAGACAGGCTGATGACTAGTGAGACACAGCGCCCGAGAACAGGCCCCTCCCGGACACCCGTGGCCAAGTTCAGCGGCTGTGGGTCCCCGCAGCCCAGGCAGCGCCCTCCCCCGCCACCAGGGGGCGCTCACTCGAGGTTGCGGCCCACGATCCGCGGCAGGTAAGGCAGCTTCTTCACCAGGATGGTGCCATCGTAGAAGGAGGGCTGGCAGCTCTGCGCGATGGCGTTGGCCGCCAGCACCGCCAGCAGCACCGGCAGCGCGTGCACAATCTGGCCGGTCAGCTCAAAGGCCAGCAGGGCCGTGGAGATGGTGTGGGTCACGGCGCCGGAGAAGGCCGCGGCTCCTGCAGTGGGCACAGCCCGGCGTGGGGGGGTGGGGAGACTGGGCCCTTGGCCAGGGTCTGCTGCAGAGGGCCAGGTTGCGGGGTGGGGGCAGGCTACAGCCCAGACGGGGGGGTGGGGTGGGAACGCTACCCAGGTGCACACAACCGGACCTGGACTTGGGGAGAGGGTGTGCCCCAACAGAAGGTCCCGGGGGCCTTGGAGGGATGAGAAGCTGGCAGGATCCACCAAGGGCTGGGCACCCCACATCCTCTGGGCCCCTCTGGGAGATGGTCAGCTCCAGCCTTACCCTAGCCTGCAGGGACCCTCCACTGACCTGCCAGGGCGTAGCCCCCAGGCATGATGGGGTTGACGTCCCCTCCAGCCACGATGCCCTCCGGAAAGGCGAGGGACAGGGCCTCGCCCAGGAGGCGCCCGATGGCAGCGCCTGCCCACAGACTCAGGGTGAGAGGGAGCCAGCTGACCCATCCCCTCACCCCGCCACCCTTCATTCCTGGGGACCAGCCTCCAAGATACAGGGGAGGGCGGCTGGGGGCTAGAAGCCCCAGGACCCCAGACTCACCCCAGATGAATATGGGCATGAAGTAGCCGGCGGGAATCGGGATGGTGGTGGCCAGGATGAGCATCCAGAACTGCGGGGGAGGGACAAGAGCCCCGAGGGTCAGGGTTAGAGTTGGGGGATGGGACAGGAACAGGAAGGCTCAGGGCACTCCCTTCGGGGGGCCTGTGAGGGGCTCAGTCAGGGGCTCCCCTCCCTTCACCCTTCCTGGGAGGCAGGCGTGGATGCCACCACCTCATTTTCTTTATTATTATTATTATTCTTTTGGGGGTCACATTTATCAGTGCTCAGGGGTTACCCCTGGCTCTGTACTCAGAAATTACTCCTGGTGCTGCTCTGCGAACCATCTGGAATGGGCTCAAGGATCGAGCCTGTTTGACTTTGGGCAAGGCAAACGCCCTGCCACTGTACTATATCTCAGGTCACTTTTCCTGGGGGAGGGGGCTGGGCCACATTCGGTGGTGCTTGGGGTCTACTCCCACCTCTGGGTCCAGGAACTGTGCCCAGCAGTGCTCTGGGAACTGTGTGGTGCTGGGGACTGAACTGGGCTGGGCCATATGCCGGATCGCTCCCTTTGCCCCTGCTGGCCTGTGGCCCTGACTGACTGGCCCCGGCTGTGCTTTGTGGGACGGGGCACATGGCCCCAGGGGACAGGATCCATCTGGTGCTGGCCAGGGCAGCGGTCGTGGGGGATGTGGGGGGTGAAGAGTCACCTCTGAGCTCAGACAGAGCCCCACACGTGCTGGGACTCTGGCCACATGCTAGGCCACACCCAGAGGTGAAAACTGGGCCCAGGGCACAGTTCAAGGCGGAGAGCAAAGTGGTACCTTGAGGACCCTTTCTGGGTCACACGGTCTCAAATACTGCCTGGGCAGCCCTGGTGGCCCCTGACCACTGAGGACTCAACTGTTCACCTCCATGCCCCACCCTGCACCCGGCATTGCTGAGCGAGGCTCCTATTTCTTTTTTCAAGTGTTTTAAAAAGAGCTATTAGGGGGCCAGAGCCACAGCACAGTGGGGACGGTGTTTGCCTTCACGATGCTGACCCAGATTCAATCTCCCACTTCCTATATGGTCCCCTGAGTCCCACCAGGAGTAATTCCTGAGTGCAGAGCCAGGAGTAACCCTTGAGCACTGCTGGGTGTGGCCCCAAAACTTTTTTTAAAAAAATTAAAAAGTGATGAGGATGCTGAGGGTGTGTCCAGAGTCACAGCGGGCAGGGGCCCCCTCAGGAAGAGGGCTGGATGGAAAGCAGGGTCCTGTCCCCCCCGTGAGAAGGGACCCCCATGTACTCCCGGCTGCTCTCGGCCCTGCACACACCTTCATGAGGAGGAAGAAGGCGAGGGTCCCGAAGACCGTGAATGGCTGTGGGTTCCACTCCAGCCAGAGATTCTGGGGGTCCGGCTCGGCTGGCCAGATCGGGGTCGCATTCCTCGTCCTCAGAGCCCACGACTGGCTTTCAAAGAGCGTGTCCAGGTGTTCCTTCATGGACAGCTGTGGGGCGGCTCAGTGAGAGGCCCACACCCTGACCAAAACCCCACTTCCTCTGCCCCCACCCCCTTGGAAAAGGCTCAACTCCCCTCCCCCGAGCTTCCAGTTCCTGTGACTTCCTCTTCAGGGGTGCTGGGTGAAGCTAAAGCACAAAAGGGGGCAAAGAGAGGAGGTCCCACCCCTGTCTCCCGACTCACCCGAGAAGCCATGAAGCGGCCCACCCCGGGCGGGTAGGTGATGGAGGCCAGGATCAGGACGGCCAGGGCTGAGTACAGCGGCTTGCTGGGGGCAGGATGAGACGATGCCAGGAACCCCACCGTGGGGTGGAGGGGCAGCACCCTGCCCTGCCCCTCTCCTGTGCTTTCTTTTTATTTTTTTTCTTTTGGGGTCACACCCGGTGATGCACAGGGATTATTCCTGGCTCAGCACTCAGGAATTACTCCTGACAGTACACAGGGGACCATATGGGATGCTGGGAATCGAACCCGGGTTGGCCACGTGCAAGGCAAACGCCCTACCCACTGTGCTATCACTCTAGCTCCTCTCCTGGGATTTCTGCACCCCTTTCCCCTCCTCAGTGTTCACCCTCAGGGGCAGGAGCTGGGTGGGGGGGAACAGGGACTGAGTGAGAGGGTGAAGGCAGAAGGGGGTTGTGGTGCTCAGTGGGGGCGGAGGACTAATGGGAGGGACTTAACGGGTTCTAGGGCAAAAGCGATAGCACAGCAGGTAGGGCGTTTGCCTTGCACGTGGCCGACCTGGGTTCGATTCCCAGCATCCCATATGGCCCCCTGTGCACTACCAGGAGTGATTCCTGACTGCAGAGCCAAGAGTAACCCCTGTGCATCGCTGGGTGTGACCCAAAAAGCAAAAAAAAAATGGGGTTCAGTGGAGAGTTGGTAGCCCTGAAATGAGGGGGTGTGGGGGAGTACAGAGTGAAAGCCCTGGAGAGGGGGTGAAGGGGGGATGGGGATTAGGGGGTGTGGGCTTGGAAGGCTCCGGGTGCTCACAGAGGGAGGGCTTCAGAGGGTTCTCCCTGAGGGAGGTACAGGCTCAAGGCTGAGTTTCATAGGAATGGGGGCCCACCTGGTGGCCAACAGTCTGGAGGTGAAGGGATTGGTCCTGATGAAGCCGAGGAAGGTCCGCTGGCAGAAGAGGTAGGCGCAGCTCATGATGCCGCAGATGGCCCTGCTGGCGCCAAGGTCAGTGCAGACCCCTGCTAGGCCTGGGGGCCTCTCCAGGAGCCCGCGGTGCCCACTCACCCCAGTGCCACAAAGAAGAAGATCTCGGGCAGGTCAAAGGGGACATCCACGCGGAAGCTGGTCTTGAAAAGGGAGGTGATGGTTTCTGGGGAAGGAGGGCAGTGGGGTGAGGGTCTCCACCCTCCCCCTGCCTGCCCCCAGGCCCAGCACCTGTGGGCAGAGTGAGCCGCCCCTGCTCCCCACACTCCTGTCCTGGTGTCCAAGGCCCCATCACCTCCTCCCTGCTGGTCCCCTTCTTCCTCCAGGCCCCTTCATCCTCCATGGCCAGCCCAGCCCAGCTCACATCCATGCTCTGAGGAGAAGGGGGGGAGGAGGAAGGAGGGAGGAGGGTGGAAAGAGGAAGGAGAAGAGGAAACAGAAGAGAGAGAAGGAGAGGGAGGAGGGAAGGGAGGAGAGGAGGAAGGGGGAGAGAGAGGGGCTAGGGGAGGAGGGAGAAGAGGAGGGAGAATTGGAGGAGGGAAAGAAAAGAGGAGGAGGAGGGAGAATAGAGGAGGGGGAGAGGGGAAGGCCCATGGGGCGGGAGGGGCGAGCGGTCACCCACCCTGCTCACTGTTGAAGACTGCCAGCAGGCGGAACATGAAGGCCCCACTGGTGGCAGCGAAGAAACCCCTCCAGTAATCCCAGACGTTGAAGTGGGACGACATGACCTCAATGCTGAACAGGACACCTGAGGGCGACACTGAGCTCAGGCGGGTGCTGACCTCCATGTCCAGCCGTGGCTCAAGCCCCTTCCCGTGGTGGCCTTAGTCCTGAGCTGCAGTGGGGCAGGACCAGTCTGCGGCGCCCCCTGGAGGAGTTCAGTCCTCACAGCAGCCCTTTAGGCCCGGGGACTGTGTGATGGGGAGATAGATGGGCTGTTGCAATGAACAAACTCCCTGGCCAGGGTTGCCCAGGGACCTCCCCCCTGCCACACCATGTAGCACCATCCTGAATGCCCTGTGCCTCCAGCGAGAGGAAGGACAGAGCTGGACAGAGCTGGACAGAGGAGCGAGGTGGTCAGTGGCCCCACGGGGTCTGGGAGAGTAGGGAAGGGGGCAGGGGGCAGGAGGGGACTCACCGCTGAAGGGGGCTGCGAAGACCGTGGCCACACCCACCGCCGCGCCAGCCACCAGCATTTCGTTCTGTTTGATCTTGTTCTGCGGGGATGGGAAGAGTCGGGGCTCAGGGGCTGCCTCGCCCTCCCACTCTTGGGCCTCTAGGGGTGCTCCCTGGGTCTCTTACCTGGGGTTCCCCAACAGTCCTGGTGCGCAGGCGTCCCAGGTAGGCAGCGATCATCACCGACAGGTGCACGAAAGGGCCCTGCAGAGATTGCACTCATTTGTGGAATATAAAGTAACAGAATGGGAGACTTACACCCAAGAATAGTACAGATGATTAGTACCAGGAGGTCTGCTCCATGGCTTGAAAGCCGGCCTCACATGCTGGGGGAAAGGGCACCTCAGACAGAGAAGGGACCACCAAGTAAAGGGTGCTAGGAGGGCCCGCTCGGGATGGGAGATGTGGGCTGAAAATAGACTATAGACCGAACATGATGGCCACTCAATACCTCTATTGCAAACCACAACACCCAAAAGGAGAGAGAGAGAGAGAGAGAGAGAGAGAGAGAGAGAGAGAGAGAGAGAGAGAGGAAGCAAAAGGGGAATGCCCTGCCACAGAGGTGGGGTAGGGTGGGGGGATGGGGGGGGGTGGTGGGAGGGATGCTGGGACCATTGGTGGTGGACATTGGGTACTGGTGGAAGGATGGGTACTCGACCATTGTATAACTGAAACGTCAGCATGAAAGTTTGTAAGTCTGTAACTATACCTCACAGAGATTCATTTAAAAATACTAATACTTGGGGGGTGGGGTGGGGGGAGGGATATTATCCATGGTGGTGGAAAGTGGGCACTGATGGAGGGATGGGTATTTGATCATTGTATAATCGAAACCCAAGCACAAAAAATTGTAAATCTACAACTGTACTTCATGGTGTTTCACTAATAAAAAGAAAGAAAAAAGAAAATGTACACTGGTGGTGGGATGGGTGTTCGATTATTGTGTGACTAAAAATCAATCATGAAAGTGTTGTAACTATCTCACAGTGATTCAATTAAAAAAATCTTTTAAAAAATTTAAATAAAATAAAGTGAAAAGAAAAAAAATAAAAATACTAATACTTAGAAAACAAAGTATTTCACAATGCCTTTTCAGCAATTCTGATTGTTGGGGGGGAGGATTCTAAACAATAATGGTGCATCTTTTGTCAAAATAATGAATGTAACCAATGTAGAGAAAAGTTAAGTAGAAATCATCTGCCTCACAGGCATTGGGAGTGGTGGGAGGGGGGTATATTGGGGTTCTTGGTGGTGAAAAATGAGTACTGTTTGATCATTGTATGACTGACACTTAAACCTGAAAGCTTTGTAACTTTTCCCACAGTGATTCAATAAATAGATATAAGACAAAAAAATACAAAAAGAAAAGTAAGGTGGAGTTCATGCACAATTCAATCAGCTAATCAGTGACTGAATAAATAGCAGTACTCCTACATAAGAATAAATAAATAAATAAATAAATAAATAAAAAGGCCCTCCCGTTGATCATCGATTTGCTCAAGCAGGCCCAGTAACGTCTCCATTGGAGACTTTGTTGTTGCTGTGTTTGGCATATCGAATACTCTCGGTAGCTTGCCGGGCTCTCTGAGAGGGGCGGAGGAATCGAACTCGGGTCGGCCATGTTGGCTGCGTGCAAGGCAAACGCCCTACTCGCTGTGCTATCGCTCCAGCCCATAAAATGACCAAAAAAAAAAAAACTAATACTGATTAATAACACTGTCCTCCTGTTGTTCATCGATTTGCTCGAGCGGGCCCAGTAACGTCTCCATCATGAGACTTGTTGTTACTGTGTTTGGCATATTGAATACGTTACGGATAGCTTGCCAGGCTTTGCCATGCGGGCGAGATACTCTCAGTAGCTTGCCAGGCTCTTCGAGAGGGGTGGAGGAATCGAACCCGGCTCGGCCACCGGGCCGGCTGTGCACAAGGCAAACGCCCTACTGCTGTGCTGTTGCTCCAGCCCAATACTACTACTACTACTACTACTACTACTAAAAGAAAGGTCCCTTCAGGGAGGTGGGGACGCAGGGCTCAGCCCGGGGCGGGGGAGTATATGGGAGCCGCTGTCCCCACTCATCCCACGGCCCGTCAGTCTCTGGGCTCTGGTCTGCCTCTTCCCCAACCCCAGACGCCAGGGGAGGTCCAGGGCAGGTGCAGTGGGTGCCCTCACTCCTGCCCGCACGTACCACTTTGCCCAGGAAGAGGGTGCTGCCCGAGGCCAGCGTGCAGCTGAGACCCACCACCTTGGCCCCGAAGTTCTTGATGTCCAGGTAGTCCTCCAGAATCACGCCCGACAAGATGGTCTTCAGCTCGGGGAGTCCCGAGCCTTGGTGGGGGGAGGACAGCGGGTGAGGGGAGGGGTGGGTCCGGGTGGAACCTCTGGCCCCACCCCACCCAGGCCTGTCGGGGCCCTCGAACCCTGCCAACAAGGTGGGGGCTTCCCTGGAGAGAGAATGCAATGGGCCGGCTGCAGGCTTCACACGGGGGACCCCTGGGTCTGACCCCCGACACCACCCACTCCCCGAGGCACTGGGAGTGACCCCTGAGCACTGCAGGGTGCAGCCCTCAAAGCAAAGCAGAAGCTGTACAAGGAGTCTGCAGAGGAGGAGCCGGGGGAGCAGAAGGACATGCGAGTGTCCACCCACTTCCCGCAGGGCCCCAGGGACCGGACAGGGGAGCCCAGCATAGAATCAGGCTGGATGCTCACTGGGTGCCTCCATGCTGGCCTGGAGCTGAAAGGGCCTCCTCAAGCCCCCTTCGGGACCAGATAACTTTCAGAAAGGCTCAGGGCCTGCACTGCCCATCCCCCCACCCCCCACCCCTGTCCTGGTCCGGCCTCTGTGCTGTGTGACTTTGGGCAAGAAGAAAGCCTCCTCTGAGCCTGCTTCTCCGGCTGAGAAATGGGCAACAGTTTCCTGCCTCCCATTGCCGAAGCTCGAGGCTCAGGAAAGGCTGGGCACCGAGACGCAAGCCTGCAGGTGGTGCAGGGGGGCCCGGGCTCACCTCCGGAGAAGGGTGTGATGCTCTGGGAGAAGCCGGAGGAGAAGGAGACGAGGGCCACGGGGTAGACGGTCCAGGAGAGGTACCGGAGCAGGTGGCTGTCCCCAATCTCCCGGTACAGCCACTTGTGTGCTGGGGACAGCAGGAGTCAGGGGACATCTGCAGGCTCTGAAGCCTCAGGGTCCACATGCTGACCAGAAGGGGGCGAGCCAGGCCCATCCCGAGGGGACGCACCCTGGACTCAGTGCCCGACTCCCTAGCTGAGTGACCCTGAGCAAGTAAATAACTCAAGCCCTCTGAACCTCTGTCCACAGAGTGGGGGGACGGAGAAACCCCCCATCTCTGGCTCACTGCCCAGCACCCTGCCTGGACCCTGCCTGCCCTCCCTCGGCCACCTCTTCCAGGAAGACCTCCAGGTGGAGCAGAGGGAAAGTTCCATGCCTAATGGTGTAGACGAGGGATCCACTCCCCCCTCTCCGCCCCCTAAAGGAAGAGGGACTGAGCAGAGCTGGAGAAAGGGGGCTGGGGGCACGACCCATAAAAGGCTCTGCAGAATATGTGGGACCCTCTTCCTCACTGTGCAAATGAGGAAACCGAGGCCCAGAGAGGAGCCAAGCCCGATCAGGGACACATGGCAATCGGAGAGCTGAGCCAGGAGTGGGCGCAGCTAGAAACCCAACCAGAACCCTTCTACCCCTCATGGTGGCCCCAGGCAGGTGGCAGGGACGCGTGCCGGGAGGGTCACCTCGAACCACGCGGCCGATGGCGAAGTTCATGGCGAAGCTGATGAGGGCCATGAGCACGCCGAGGATCATCAGGAAGTACCAGTCTTCGCGCACGCGAAACAGCTTCTGCTTGAGCCACTCCAGGGCCCCTGGGCAGGGGGAGGGCACGGTGAGGGCAGGAGGGAAGGGGCAGGTGGCCGCCGAGGTCCCTTTCACCCGACACCGCCCCCTCCGCCTCTGCTGCCGTGCTGAATGAGATCTAAGGGGCGTGCAGTGAAGCTTCGAGAGCAGGAGGGTCCCATCCCACAGTCTCCTGCTGTACCCCAGCCCCCAGAGTGACCTCACAGCCCTGCTGGTGGCGGAGTGGACACTGGCCTGAGGATTCAGGGAGCTGGCTCTGCCCAGCTCAGACACCAGTCTCCAGGCATCTGCCTTCAGCTTCTCTGGGCTCCCTTCCTTCCTGCACCCCCGCCCAGGGGACGTCCCAGGTCCCCCAGGGACTAGTGTATTTGGGGCTCCCAGTGCAACTGTCAAGTGCTCATCCCTCCCGCTTCCTGTGCCACTCTGGGAAGGGCAGACGGGCCAGGCCCAAGAGGGCACAGACACACTGATGCAAGGGCAGACAGACACCCAGCACCCCCTGGGAAGTGCCACCCAGGGCCAAAGGTGAGGACGAGCGTTGCTCTGGGCTCCATAGGGGGTGTCCTGAGGGCTTGTCCACTCACCTCGGATGCCTCGGCGGAGGCGAGGGCACGGACCCCACAGCTCTCGAAGTGCCACCGGGGTCCCAGGGGAGCCTCGGCGCAGGCCCACCAGCTCCTCCATGGAGTGGCTGAGGACAGACAGACAGATGGGCAGGCGGACTCCGTGGACCGGCCCCACACTCCTTACCTGTGTGAATCCGTGACAGGAAGAGACTGGGTATTGCGGCACTGGAGGTGTCACCTAGTCTGCACTAGGAGTGCAGAACGAGTTCTGAGAGGGGTCTCAGGCGGGCTTCAGCTCCCCACTCGCTCCTCAGTCATTTTTTCAGGGCAGGGGAGCAGGGGACACCCCACGAACCTCCCTCACGTCCCCCCTCCCCCACCAGCCCACTCCCAGCTCAGCCCGCAGAGGCCGGAGCTTCAGAAAACCCCAGGTTCAGAAAAAAAGGCTGCAGGGAGAGAGATGCCCAGGAGGTGCCGGCTCCCTGTCCCCCCCCCGCCCCCCCCTTCTTCCCAGGCGCCCACCCTGGCCCAGGCCCAGCCCTGCTCGCAGCCCTTACCTCTGTGCTCCGCGTGGGCCTCCTCTGATTCAGCTCCCCCTGTGTGCGGGCGCGGGCAACTGGACAGGTATGCGCTCCGCCAATCAGCAGCAGGGGCCCCCCTCCCACCCACCCCCCCCAGCCTCGAGGTTTACTGTGGCCGCTGAGAACGTCCTTGACAAACCGGCTGAAACTGCCCGGGGTAACTGGGCCGTGCAGGCCAGAGCTGCCTGAGGGACCAGCCGGGGTTCCCTCTGGGTCAGCCAGAGCCCCAGCGTGAGCGGGGCCCAGAGGGGGAAGTGCCCGCACACAAGGGGCCGGGAGAGGGGCTCTCTGCCGTGTGGTGAGGGGCCAAGACCCTCGCCTGCCGTGGGAGGGGGATGGGGAGCCCACTGCAGGCAAGCAACAAGGGCGGCCAGCTGCAGGGCACCGTCCACTGGCCCCTCACTGCCTGGTCACAGCCCAGACTCTGTGCTCAGTGCCCTGCAGCAAATCGGTGAGCACATGGAGACCTCACAGGAGGTGGAGGGCAGGGGGAGAGTTTAGGGCCACACCTGGAGGTGCTCGGGACTTACTCCTGGCTCTGTGCTCAGGGATCTCTGCTGGAGGTGCTCCGGGCACTGTCTGTGGTGCCAGGCTCAAACTCAGGGTGGCCTTGTGCAAAGCAAGCACCCTGCCTGCCGGACTATCACTCTGGTCTCTCGGGGGTTCTGTTCGAGGAACGTGGCATCCACCAAGGCAAGGACACAGAGCCATGCACAGAGACCCAGCCATAGAGCAGGTTCCCGGGCAGGGCTGCCTAACTCCCAAGCCTGCACCCAGCCTCAGGGGCCTGGTGGGGTGCGGGGTGATGGGCAAAGCTGGAGCGGGCACAGGAAGCAGGTGGTCGGAGAGGAATGCGGACTGGCTCCTAGTGTCCAGCCTTGAAGGAAACCTCAGGAAACCGCCTCAACTCCAGCCCGCCACAGGCACTGGCTCTGTTGGGGCTTCAGGGTAAACGCTGCCAACTTTGTCCCACTGCAACAGAGGACATGGGGACCAGGAAACAAGCCCCGGTTACATGCCAACAGTTCAGATGCTGGACATCCGCTGCCTAGCTCCTCCTCCCTGTGCCCATCCCCGACCCCCAATTCCACCGGTGGCCAGGACAACATCACTGTTTCTCAGCAGTCAATTGAAGAATCAGAGAAGTCTAGTCACTCCTCTCTGGACACACAGCAGGCGCCGATCTCAGACCCAGATGTACGACCTTTTCCAGAGCTCTTTCGATTTCTCTGCTGCAATTGATCAGGGCGAGGATCGGGGCACAAAGTAGAGGATTGTTGCCTGATGCCATTTGGGGAAGATTCCAGCCAGAGACCCAGGACCATGACCCTCCTCCTCCGCCCCAAAGATCTCCCTCCTGAAAACCATGATGAACCAGGCAGGGGCAGCTGCCAGCACAACCCCAGAGCCCCTGGCTGGCTGTGTCCACACCTCACACCCTGTCCTGGGGCATGAGGACTCAGAGCGAGCAGCAAGGAGCTCACGACGAGTCCTTGCCCACACGGGTCAGCTTCAAGCCTGTCCCTCCCGCGTCAGGACCGGTCACTACCATGGGGGGGGGGGCAGTCAGCAGAGCCCTGCCACCCCTCAGCGCCCTGCACCGCCCCATCCTCTGTGCTCTACAAGGAGACCTCGAGGCACAGAGGGACCTTCCTCCAGCAAGAGTCCCCCCAGTCTACAACAGCGCCGGGACAAGGGAGCACTCAGGAAACGCCTCCTCGTGCCGAGTCATAGGAGTCGGCTGAGCTCTGGCTGCGAGGGATAGTTACAGCTTCCTGGGCCCTTCCCAAGGCCACATGTCAGAATCTTGGGGCTCAGGATTCTGTCCCCCAGGGGCTGGAGCGATAGCACAGTGGGTAGGGCATTTGCCTTGGATGTGGCCGACCCGGGTTCGATTCCCAATATCCCATATGGTCCCCTGAGCACTGCCAGGAGTAATTCCTGAGCTTAGAGCCAGGAGTAACCCCTGAGCATTGCCGGGTATGACCCCCCCAAAAAAAAGATTCTGTCCCCCAGGCAAGGGCCATTGAGAAACAGGGATTAAGGTGCCCAGCACTGGCTTAATCCCTAGAAACACATGTGGTCCCCAGACCACTGAGCACAGAGGCAGGAGGGGACCCACAAGCACAGCCAGGTGCGGCCCCATCCACCCCAAAAGTCCCCCTTGATGAATGGAATCCTCCGGCAAGTTCGGGGTACAAGGAAAAGCTCATCAGTGCCCCAGAGGGCAGAATGTGCCCAGAAATGAGAGAATGACTTGGATGACCTTTTGAGGTCCCTCCTGGCCTCTGAGGCCAGGGCAGCCAGTGGGTGACGCCTCGCGGGGGCCGGGGGAAGGGGAGGAGGCGCAGAGGTGGGGGTGGGGACCGAGGTCTGATGTCCAGGAGCGGTGACTCAGGCCCTCAGCACTGTGACAGGGTGTCTGCTTTTAGCCGCTGGCTCCCGTGCCCTGGCGGGTGACAAGCTGTGGGCTCCCACCCTCTTTCTACCTCACTTCTAGGCAGGAATCCCTGCAGGAGTGACAGACCCTGCCTTTGCTTCAGCCACCAGCCTGGGTCCCAGCTGCACCCTCTCCATGGACCCTCCAGAAACAGCTATGACCCCCCACAAGGAGGAAGTTCTGTGGGAGCCTGAGAAATGAAAGAGTACTGCTTTAGAAGCCCCCAATCCAGCGGGGACACAGTGACCCCCCCTGGCCTGGGGAGCTGCCGTCTGATGGAGGGGGAACAGAGAAATCCCAGGGTCACCAGACCCCTGCTAGCTGCTGGGGTGTGTCGGGAGGGTCCTTCTGCCCTGGGTGGGCTGTGGGTCTCCAGGGACCCTCTCCAGGAAGGAGAGAGTCTGGGGGTCTGGGGGAGAGCAGAGCGGCGGGGGTCCTGCAGTCAGGTAGTGGGGAAGGGGGTCTCCTTCCAACGACCCTTCCACTTCCACCACCTGCTCTGCTTGATGGCACCCTCAGGGCTTCTCAGGTGCGACCATCCTGCCGGGTGGGGCTGGCATCCTGGCTCCACCACTCACTGCGTGTCCCCACCATCCCCCCCCCGAAGCTAGGGACATGTGAGGGGGAACCACAGATGAGCTGGGACCTCATTTGGCCCCAGAAAGGCAGGCAGGTCAGAATAGCCGTCTTCTGGAACATTCCTTCCCATTGTCCTGAAGTACCTGCTCTGAGCCCAAGTTCATACCATCAAGGAGCCCAAGATGGTCCCTGGGAACAAGACCTAGACTCCCCGAAGGACAAGCACCCCAGTGGGCCCAGCCTTAGCCCTCAACTTCCTCCTCTTGGGGGCCCCCAAAGGTGCCCAGCATTAGGGAGGAGGACCAACCATGAGGCGGCCCCAGGGGAACTGGCCGGGACAGTCGCACATTCTAATGTGCCCCAGCCCGACCATCTCTCTTTCCTCATAACCATTGTCTCTGCTGAGGCCAGGAGCACTGGAGGCCTCCCAGGGCCCCAAAGCTGAGGTGCCCCACCCACCCCTCACCTCCTGCTCTTGGGCTTAGTTTTGTGTGTTGTTTTGGGTAATTTTGTTTTGGGTTCATACTCGAGAATGTTCAGGGGTTACTCCCGGCTCTGCGTTCAGGAATGACTCCTGAACGCAGAGCCGAGAGACCCTATGTGATGATGCCAGGGATTGAGCTGGGTCAGCACATGAAAGGCAACCCCCTCCCCCCGCCAGCTGTACTATGTCTCGGGCCCCTTATCGCCTGCTCTGATACCTCCATCCCTCCCAGAGCAGGGAAGCGGGCCCCTCCATCCTGATCAACCACCCCCCTCTTACCAAGGATGGGGATAGGAGGAGGCAGGGTGTGGGGGGGAAGACACAGAGGAAACTGTCCCCCAGGAGCTGAAAGGCCACTCCTGAGTGGCTGGGGGCAGGCTGGGGTCTGCATGGCACGAGGCCCTGGGCTGCAGTTATCAGCCTGGAATGCGGCTGTGAGCTCAGCCGTCGTCTCAGGCCTGTGTGTTGGTCTGTCAGCGGGGCCGACTCACTGGAGAAGATTTCCAGCCCCTCTGGGCCACCGAGAGGCCTAAATTTAGCTGGTAGACAAGGGGCTGGCCCCAAGCCCGGGACGGTAGGGCTTTATAAAGCGCCGTCCGTCGGGGCGCTGCCAGCTCCCCTAGAGGCCTGCCGCCCACACCCTCTCCTGTCCACCCTGCCTGCTGCCTGCCGGGCCGGGCCGGCTGCCTGCCCGTGAATGAGCCACAGGACCTCCTCCACCTTCAGAGCGGAGAGAAGCTTCCATTCCTCTTCCTCCTCCTCGTCCTCATCCTCCTCTTCAGCCTCCTCCCGGGCCCCGGATCCCCCCATGGAGAAGGCCTTGAGCATGTTCTCGGAGGATTTTGGTAGCTTCATGCGGCCTCACTCGGAGCCCCTGGCCTTCCCAGGCAAGTGCCCGGGGCCTAGGTGTGGGGGGTTACGCAGGGAGGGGATCCCGTGGGGCGGGGTGGGGGCACTGGGGAATGTTGATGCAGGTGGGCGGGGCGGCCAGGAGCAGGTGCCACGCCCGTGTGGCCCCCTGGAAAGACAAGACGTGGCCGGGAGAACTGACAGTGGGAGAGGAAGAACCTTGGGCCGGGGTTCAGGCCGGGACCCAGGAGTAGAAGCCCTGGAGGGCTGGATAGGACTGAGAGGTTGGGGCACAGACGCGCTTTGCTCCAGGCTGGGGAGGTGTCCCTGGACACTCTGTGGGCTGGGGGCAGCCTGCCCAGCCCCCCATGCAGAGGGGGACTGTGGCAAGTGGGCCCAGGGGGAGGCGAGGCCTGGGGAAGGGACCCTGCCCCACAAGAGTGGGAGCTGGAATCCGGCCGCCCGCCACCCCATGTTCAGCTCACGCCAGTTCCCCCCACCCCCCAACAGCCCGTCCCGGGGGCCCAGGCCACATCAAGACGCTGGGAGACACCTATGAGTTTGCTGTGGATGTCAGTGACTTCTCCCCAGAGGACATCATCGTCACCACCTCCAACAACCACATTGAGGTGCGGGCGGAGAAGGTGAGTGACCTGGACAACCCTCCCCCCCCCGAACCCTCCACTCAGGGTCCCTAAGCCTTTGTCCTATCCAGGGGCCCCAGATGCTGACCAGGGTTCCCCTGCCCTCCCCCCTCGTTCCAGGGCCAGCTGAAAGTCTGACCTGGACAGCTCACAGGCCACGGCATCCTCCTTCCTGCCTCTGTACACCCCAGTGCTCTGAGTCCTTTCTCAGGAGTCCAGGGCTGCAGAGGGAGCCCCTAGGGAGCAGGGCAGGGTGCTCCTGAGGGGGAGACGGTGTTTGCAACAAGTCAGCTCCCCTGGTGGGCCTGTGGGCAGGAGTAGGGTCCCCTGGGCAGCATAGTGGAGAGAGAAGTTCCCCCTGGGGGCGGGAGGTACAGCAGATGGGGCACTTGCCTTGCATGTCGACAACCCAGGTTTGATCCCCGGCACCTCATAGGGTTCCCTGAGCCCCACCAGGAGTGATCCCTGAGTTCAGAGCCAGGCATAAGCCCTGAGCACTGCTGGATGTGCCCTGCCGCCCCCCAAAAGACACCCTTCCAACCCTCTTTTGAACCTCCTGGGACCCCTGAATCAGACCATGGCTGACGGGAGGCCTGGCCCACCCCCAGACTAATGGGTCTTGGGCACCAGCTCCCCAGGAGGACACTCATGTGGGAGGGGGTGTGGCTCGTCCTGAACAGGGACACTGGCGGGACAGCGGCCGGCTTGTCACAGGCTGGGCTAGTTCCCTGGGCACCTGGGCACCCCTGCCAAGGAATCCAAAGGCCCTGGGCACCGCGACAGTGGCAGCACGTGCCAGTCTGCAGCCCCGCCTGTGACTCAGCCTGGCTCCCCTGGACACCATGTGCTGGCAGACATGAGGGAGGGGCCGTGGCCAGCTCCGCCGGGGACACCAGTGTCTCATAGCTTCAAAGCCCCACCATCAGCCGGGAAGACGCAGAAACGGTTGGAGCATGGGCAGGAGCCCTGGCACCTCACTGTCCCCTGAGCACGAGTGGGCACCAGGGGCCCCTAAGCGCCATGCTAAGGAGGAGCCCTCAGTTTTGTTGGGGTGCTTTAGGGTCAGTTCGAGCCTCCTGCCTCTCTGAGCACCCCCAGTCTCTGTGACCCCCTGGAACCAGGAGCTCTTCCAAGCACCTCTGGGTCTGTCCCTGCAGAGCCCCTGGCCACTGTGACCAGCCCCTCGCTTGGCCCGGAAGCTGAGACCCCGGGGCACAGGGGAGCCTTGCTGGGGTCAGGCTGGAGGAAGGCGGGGAGGGGCGCTGTGACTTGTGATGAGCGGGACGGCGGTCACCTGCCCTGACCCCTGACCACTTCCCCAGCTGGCAGCCGACGGCACAGTCATGAACACCTTCGCTCACAAGTGCCAGCTGCCGGATGACGTGGACCCCACCTCGGTGACTTCAGCCTTGAGGGAGGACGGGAGCCTCACCATCCGGGCCCGGCGCCACCCCCACACGGAGCACGTCCAGCAGACCTTCCGGACGGAAATCAAAATCTGAGGGTCCCCCTCGTCTCTCCCCGTCCCCTGCGCCTCACCTGTCCCTTCCCCCCTCCCCGGCTTGCCAGAAAAGCTCCCCCAGCCCGTCCAGAGCAGCTTCCAAGACATCTCAGCCCCCTCCCCCCACACACACCTGCCCTACCGCCCCTCGGCCCCAGGTGGGTCACCACCCCCATAATACAGACATCTTCAGCCCTGCCCATGCACCCCGGGGATCCCCTGCCTCACCCAGGAACCCCCAGATCCCAGAGCTGGCTTCTCTCCCTTCGTCTAGAGTAGAGTTTGAAGTAGGAAAGGGGAGTTTTTCAGAGACAGCACCGTAGGCAAGCAGAATTAGAACAGGGAGACCTTTGGGCAAATCATCCGCCAGACAGACAGATCTGATCTGTGGGATCACTGCGGACGAGGGCAGGCCAGGGTGGAGGAGGCCTGAGAAAGATGATAGATCCCATGGCACAGGGGGCCGGAGGTGACAGCTTGACGCGTCTCCTGGGCCACGCTCCAAGCCCCCCTCCAGCCGGCTGTGTCCGGGCAGGACCACGCTGTGTCTTTACAGAGATGGGGTTTTTCCAAATACAGCTGGATCGTGACAAATTGCAAAACTTCTGTTTGCTCCCTGCTAAGCCCCCAGGCAAAGGCTGGGGTGAGTCCTGCTCTCTCTACCCCCTGGCCTAGGGCTCCCCGGGGCTGCTGCCTCTGAACCAGTCAACCACTCTGCCAGAAAGGAGCACGCGTGGGGGTGGGAGCACGCATGGGGGTGGGGTCCGGGCTGCATTCAGCTTCTCCCTAAGCTTCCCCCTCTCTTTCCTACCTTCCTTCCCCTCTTTAAAGGATGAATCTATAGACTGCATGTGTGTACGCACACGCACGCATGCAAACACACAATATACACACAATACTCACACATTCAAGTACATGCACATGCATAAAACTCATACATACATGCACACACACACACACACACACACCACACAAAACTCACATACACTCACTCATTGGTAACTCCTTCAAACACTCAGTGTTGCCTCGGTGAAGACCCAGCTCAGAGCATTCTAAAGTCAGATTTCTCGGGGGGGGGGGGGTGGGGAAGAGGGGGCTGGAATGATAGCATAGCAGGTAGGGCGTTTGCCGCTGCGGGCACACTGCCGACCCGGGTTCGAGTCCCAGCATCCAATATGGTCCCCTGAGCAGTGCCAGGGGTGATTCCTGAGTGCAGAGCCAGGAGTAACCACTGTGCATCATCAGGTGTGACCCAAAAAGAAAAAAAAAAATGAAGTCAGGGTTCTCATCTGGAGGGGGCTGGGGGGAGGGGAGTGGGGGGTTTGGCAATGGAGTCTCTGAGCAACGGCCTGCCGCCAGGACATGAGACGCTGCTGCTACTCTGGCACGGACCCCCACGGGCAGCAGAGAACAGAGCCACTGGTCCTGCCCCACCTCTGGAGTCAGCCCGGGGAGCCCAGGTACTCCATGACCTGGCTCAGGTCCCACCTGCAGAAACAAGTGATGGCTCACGGTGAGGGTGGGGGGGCTGGGGCAGAACCTTTGTCTTCTGCAGAATGACCTTTCACCCCTGGCCCAGATGGGTATGGGTTCTGCCCATAAGGGGTGGCAGAACTTGGGAAGGTCCTGGCCTGGTCTCCTGCACACAATAAACACAGATGCACACACTCTGACAGCACCTGCCTGAAGTTCTCAAAAACTGGGCCGGGGCAGGGAGGGGGCTGGAGGGAGCCCCCCGGAAGTACAGACCCGCTTTCCTCAAGGTGCCAGGGCAGGCGGGAGAGACAGTGCCGGGGTTCTGGTCTTGCTCGCACCCAGCAGGCCCCTGTCCCACCCCTGGGACCACTTGTGGCTCCCAGAGCACAGCTGGGAGGAGTCTCAACCACAAGGCTCCGAGCAGCCTCTGAGCACGGCGGGGTGGGGTCCAACCTGCACCCCTAAAAGGGAATCTGGGAACATGGCTGAGGAAACAACTCCAGGGTCTAGAGGTGGGTATGTGCTTGTCAGAGCTTAGTCGCCTCCTGCCATCCACCCCTCAAACCACTGGAAGTTAACGGGGAGCACTGAGCTGGGAGTACCCCCAACCTTGCTAGGCGCAGGCCCACAAACTAAAGGAAAATTTCTAGGAGACAGGTTTCAGAACACCTTCAAGACCTCATGGAAACGTGGGGATTCCCTGGCCCCTTCGGCTCCCCCACCCACCTGGGCAGGAAATCTCGAATCTCTGTGCAGGAAAAACCTGGCTCCTTCTCTTCCAGTGGCAGGAGGAGGGACACCCGAGCTCTCCAAGCCCAGAGAGGGTGAGCGACTGACCTGACTGGGCTGGACCTGACCGCTGGTTGGGGGGACCCACACAATCCTTCCCTGCGGCAGGCAGGGGAGGGAGCAGGGGGCGGTATTTCCACCCGGTGACTCACCGCTTCCACTGCGCTATTTGCAGCGCCGCCCTCCTGGGCTCGCCTCCGCCCCCGCCCACGACCCCCGGCGGGATCAGGCCCCCCTGGCGTCCCCGGGGGAGCACCGGAGAGGGGGCGCAGCGCCCCCTGCACGCGGCGCAGCCGGGAGCCCCGCTGTCCCCTCCCCAGACGGCGACTCGCAGGGTGTCCGGTCGGCATGTCCAGTCTGAAGGACCATCAGGCCAAGGTGACCCCGTGGGAGTAGGGGCGGGGAGGTGGCGGCCGCAGGCTCCGCCCACCCCCAGGCTAACTATAGCCGGGCCGCAGGCCTCCCCGCCCCCACCGCGGGTACGGGGCAGGGTAATTTTAGCAGCCCATTCACCGAGGGCAGGGTGCTTGCCAGGCTTCTGCCCCTCCCCACAACAATCTCGCGAGGTAGGTCCCAGGGAGCACTGAGGGCGCAGAGAGGGCAGGCAAGTGGCCCAAGGTCACACAGCTTGGAAGTGGCGAGGGATTAACATTTGGATCTTTTTGTATTTTGGATCACACCAGGCATGAGGGTGTGGGGTATTATTCAGCTTACTCCTGGCCCTTCGAGCAGGGATCACTCCTGGCAGGGCTCAGAGGACCATATGGGGTGTCAGGGATCAAACTGAGGTCTGCCATGTGCCAGGCAAGTTGCTATCAAGTACCTGTCGTGATCTCCCTCCGGTTTTGAATTCTTGTCAGTGGCTCTGCAAAGAACTCGATGGGTCAGGCTGGACCTGTCTCCCATCACTCCCACTCGCATTCTTCAGCGGGGCCTCCTTAGGGCTTTGGTAGGAGCTGGGGGTAGGGCTGGAGACCCTGGAGGACTAGAGAACCCAGCCTGTGTAGACCAGAGGCTTCTTTCTCCTTCCTTCGTTTTTTCTTTTTAAAAACTATTTTATGTAGGCCTTACCCATTTCATGTAAACGTCAAATTTTATTAGCACAGAATTTCTTTCGAAGTTTTATTCATGACATGATTATTACCATAATGAGGTCTATCTATTAAAAAAAAAAGGAATGCAATATATCTTAGATTCCAGAGTTGAAAACTCACTTATGTAAATGAGAATAAGCATTCTCTCTATTAGATTACAGGATTTTATTTTCTTTATTTACATAGGTGGAAATCAAACAGCAATCACAAATTCGCTCTTACTGATTTAGTTTCTGATCGTTCTATTTTCCATGTCTTAAAGTTTCGTCGGAACAAGTAACATAAAGTAAATTTGTTATGTGCCTAAAGGGGGAGATTGGGGATGGGAGAGAAAATGGGAACCTTGGTGGAGGGAAGGTCATACTGGTGGTGTTGGGACCCTAAATGCCTGAAACAACTGTATAATGAACGATTTTGTAAGTCACGGTGTTTTTAATAAAAATTAAAAAATGAAAACTTTATTTTGTTTTCTCTAGGGGGCGGGGCAGAAAGATAGCACAGGGTCAAGGTGTCTGCCTTCCGCCCCTGGCTGACTTCAGTTCAATCCAGGCACTGCGTATGGTCCCCTAAGCACCACCAGGGGTCACTACTGAGCACAGAGCCAGGAATAGTCCTGAGCATGTCTGGGAAAGGCCCCAGACCCCATAAAAATTGTTTGGGGGGGAAAAAAAAAACAAGTAAATTGGATGTCAGAGCAAGAGTATAGCCAGTAGGGAGAGCACTTGCCTTGCATGTGGCCCGAATTCAATTCGTGGCACCCCATTTGTTCCCCCAAGTCCTGGCAGGAGAGCTCCCTGAACACAGAGACGGGAGTAACTCCTGAGTACCTACCTCCAGGTGTGGCCCCTTCCCCCCCCCAAAAAAAACAAGAACAAGAAACCCTTCCTGATGAAGTCTGCAGCCTCCCAGCTGAACCCGAGGTGGAGGAGCACCCACTCTCGAAAGATCCCCAGAGTCCCCAGCTCAGAGTCACAGGCAGAGCCTAAAAGCCAAGCCCACTTTGCCTCTAAAAGAAAGTGAAGGCGCTTGCCTTGCACTCAACTGACCCGAGTTGATCCCTGGCACCCCATCTGGTCCCCCAAGCCCAACCAGGAGTGATCCCTGAGCACAGAGCCAGGAGTAAGCTCTGAGCACTGTAGTCCCAAAAGCAACAACAACAAGGAAAATGAAGGGTTTGGGGGCCAGAATGACAGTTCAGTGGGTAAGGAGCTTCCCTTGCGTGCAGCCAATCTGGGTTAAATTCCTGGCACCTCTGTGGTCTCCTGACCCTCACCAGGGGTGATCCCTGAGCACTGCCAGATGTGGCCCCCAAACCGAAAATGAATGCATCAATAAAAGAAAGTTAATTGTGGATGGATGAAGATAGTACATGCCTAATGGCCAGGGACTCTAGATCCCACCCACTTGATTGATCTGTGCTACCCCTGAGGAGTGCCTCCAAACTCTTCATGGCATGTTGGGGAGACCCATGCTCAAAGCAGAGCAGGGCCTTGCTCAAGGTCACAAGATGAGATGAAGACCTCAGCCCCCAGGACCCCGGAGCAGGGTTATCTGCCAGACCTACCCCACTGCCTCTGACCGCACCCCAGCTGGCTCAGAAGGATCCCCTATTTCCCACACTGTCTCCCTCCTTCCCTCCTCATCCACTCCCCAGTCTGCCTCGGACCCCAGATCTATACAGAGATTTCCTATTCTGCCTCTTGCTCCCAAGCCTGGAACAGTAATTGCCCACCTCACCTGCAGGGATACATTCCAGAATCCCCAGGGATGCCCGAAACCATAGGTGCCACCCCTATACACACACCCATGGCCTGGTTTCATTTATAGATCAGGCACAGTAAGAGGTGAACTATAATAGTCAGTAATAAAATAGGCATGATAGTCCAGCAGGTAGGTTGTTTGCCTTGCACCCTGCTAAACAGGGTATCCAGTATCCCAGAGGTAACCCCTGAGCACTGCCAGATGTGGCTCCAAAAAAAACAAACAAACAAACAAAAAACAAAAAAAAAGTAATAAAATAGAATAGTCAGACCAGTATTTTTGGAGCATGGTTGATAAGGGCAACTGAAGCCATGGAAACCACTCAGAAAGGGACTTCTATAAATATTTTAGAAAGATTTTAGGGGAATTCATGCCCAGGATTGATCAGGGGCACAGTGGTTAGGGCACTACTCTTGGTCAGGGACCAGGCAATGCCAGGGAGCAAACTCAGGCCTCTTACACACAGGGCCTGTGCTCAACCCACAGAGCTATCTCTCGGCCCTGATGGATTTGGTTATTGTTTTGTATTTGTTCATTTGGTGTTTGTTTTGTTTTGGGGGGCTTATTCTGACTGCTCAGGGATCACTCCTAATTGCACTCAGGAGGCCATAGGGGGTGCTGGGGATTGAACAGGGTCAGCTGCATGCAAGGCTAGCACCTGGACCTCTGTACTACCTCTCTGTTGCACCTTTAAAAAAAATGCAAACTCTCTTCAGTCTAGACTGGAGGGTGCTTTCAGCTCAGGTGCAAATTCTTCGATCATTCTGAATCTGCATTTATTCAAGAAGATAAATGCAAGAGCTCCTGCCTCTTCCATGCTACCTGTTCAAGCCTGTTCAAGCCTGACATGATCGAAATCACATGCTTAAGGAGCACGGGTGAGGACTTGGAGCTCCCAGGATGGGCTGTCTCCAAAAGGGTTGGCGATGACATTGGAAGAGTCTGAGAACAAGAGTGAAACTGACCTTCCAGAATGAACAGACCCAGAAGGAGGCAGAGCCCATCTCCAAAGCCCCCAACGACCCGCCCAGGGACTGAATGAAGCAGAAACACTGTAAGGAAGGTGGAGATGCCACTCAGAGTAGATCTTAACTGAAAGAAGTTTCTGAGACCATTAAGAGATCCTAGGTGGGCCTGGGTGATAGCACAGGGTTAAGGCACTTGCCTTGCACACAGCCAACCCTGGGTTCAGTCTCCAGCACCAATGATGGGGGAGGGGGGCACATATGAGGAGTCGCGGCCCCTTGAGCTCTGCCAGGAGTGATCCTTGAGCACAGAGCTAGGAGTAAGTCCTGAACACAATTAGGTGTGGCCCACCCTCCCCCAAAGGAGATCCTGGCAACTGCCTAGTCAGTGGGCTACTATGCTGATGACCACCAGCCTTGTGACTTCATCAGTGACATCCACAGTGGTGCAGGGGAATGACCGGCCTTGGATGCACAGAAAATGTTTCAACAAAGGGTCATTTGACAGAAGGGGGCGATGCCCAGAGATGGCTCAAGGGGCTGACCTCATGCTTTGTATGCAGGAGACCCGGGTGTGATCTCCAG